TCCTAAGTGGCAACACATACGCCCCTAAGTTCTGTTGACTTAAACATAAGTCTATAGGACCAAAAAGCCGGCTCGCATTCTATAATCAACTTTTTTACAGCTATCACGTTGAATGTCGGACGGATGAGATGTCGTAAACACTGTTCCGCTCCGCATTCTTCGCCGTTAAATCGCAGAACGTTTTGGGCTGCGCATTTATGGCGTTTAAAAAAGCTGAAGGGTCATCCCAGCGAAGAGGAGGTAAGGAGTAACCTTCACGTTTTCTCCGACAGGGGAGCCCCTATTCTCTATCAGATGTCAACGACGTTTCCATGCATCTGATTTTCCTTCGAGCAATAAATTCCTTTTCTAAAACCGGAAAATATGCAACACAGCAGCTAGTTGCAGACAGATTACTATTACGGAAACGATAGAAAGACTGCAATTTTTATATCCATGGACACCTGGATTGGAGGCGAATGAAGATGCTCAGTCATCAGTTTTATTCAGGTACCTTCGCAACCCCAGTCACTTTTAAATAGGCACTGCAAGCCACGTGTTTCCGTCTTCAGTTCCTCGTCAAACGTTGCAAACAATGAACGTGGAGCCGCAGAGAGTAGCTAATGCCATCGACATTACTTAGATCTGTACCTTCGATGCCGCTTTTACGATGATGACTTAGAATGCTTCTAGTTTTATTCTGCTCATTTTAGATACCCTACCTAATTTAGAGGGGGGGAGGGAGGGTGACAGTCAGCTGCTGTGATTGTCAGCGTGGCTGCAAACTCACGTTGCATCCCTGTTCACCCAATGCTTCCAGTCAATTCGCCGATGGAGTTGCTTAAAAATTGCCACCAGCTCGTGAAAGCTTAAAACCATTCACTCTGTATCCGTCGCGGATCGTCTTCAGGCGAACACAGATCTAACAAGGGCATACGCGCCCGAAGTCGGGGCCCAGCAGTCCCACAAGAGAGTTCGATCGCCATGATGGACGATGCCCACAGTGTGATCCATGACAGAGGGGACAACAGGGAAGGTGACGTCTGCGCAAACTAGTTTATAGCAGTGGACTTGCGCAGCATCCACTGCGCACTCACCTCTTCCACATACATCCTGTGTCATAACAAAGTTA